GTGGCCTGAAAGTCTCTCCTTATGTTCATGCACCAATCCTGCCTGGCATTTACATTCTTTCCACCTCCTCTTCCACAACAGTCCCTGAGCTGTGGGTGGATGATGCTCGAGTCCTGTCCAGGTACACACGCACTCTGCAGTCTCTTGTTCTCTAAAACTTAGCCAGCTTTGGCCTTCTGTGTTTGTCACAGTTTGTTTTATGAGGAACCTTCCTTGCTGAAAGTTCCACTATGTTCCTTTTGGCCTTCTGTGTTCGTCACAGTTTGTTTTATGAGGAACCTTCCTTGCTGAAAGTTCCACTATGTTCCATGAGCCTTAGATTTGGAAGTTCCACTGTAGGTGTGTCACATTTGGTTGGGCATCTCTCCGATCTGTATTCTCTGTGTGTGATAAGTTGTGGAACTCTGTGATGGCCTCAATCTATTGCAAAAATAAGCTTCTTCAATGAGTAGTGTACTTGTCAGAGTAGTAGTCAAGTGCCAGTCAGATCAGGAGGCCAGGGCAAGGTGGGGATAGGGACAGCCTGTGGAGGGTGTAGCAAACCATGCTAGAGGGTTAAGATAGTCTGGATTAGGAAGCTAGCCCAGAGATCTAAGGCAGAAGAGCCAGAGTGGGTCTGGGCCCCAAGCTAGAAGGAGGACCAAATGCAGGGAGGGATTGGAGTTGCTCAGGTTAAGATAGTCTGGATTAGGAAGCTAGCCCAGAGATCTGAGGCAGAAGAGCCAGAGTGGGTCTGAGCCCCAAGCTAGAAGGAGGACCAAATGCAGGGAGGGATTGGAGTTGCTCAGGCTGTAGGGAATCAAGACACACTGGGTGGAATTTTATTTTTGGAAAATTTATGTAATTTCTCTTGCTGTTGATTTCTGTTTTTATTCCATTAGATTTAAAAAGACACAAGAAATCATTTTCAGTTTTGTGCATCTTTGTGTTTTGTTTAAGTGACATAGAATGTGATATAAGTCTGAATGTGCTAAACTTACTGTGTGTAAAGTTTTCATTGTTATGTCTTCTTGATATACTGCTACCTTTATTTATTAATATGCAATGGCTCTCCTTATCTCTTTTGATTAATTTTGGTAGGATGTTGGCTTTGTCAGATATTTATATAGGATGTTCACTTTAATTTTGGAGTACAGTTGTTTGGATTATTTTTCATCCTTTCACATTCAACTTATTTAATTTTTTATGAGTCAAGTGTCATTTCTGTAGACAAACTTTTGAACTTAAAAAATAGAATCAGTAAGTCTGTGTCTTTTAAGTAGAGTATTAAGAGAACACTACTACTATTACAGGATTACTATTGAGAGGTATGTGCTAATTTCTGTGTTGGTTTCCTGGTGGATTCAAGGGATTTTTTTTCTTTTCCTTTTCCTTTATTTGTCTTTGTGGTTTTCAGGACAATTGAGTTAATATCGAATTTTCCCCCCATTTCTCATTTGTTCCTATCTATGTTTCTAATGTGATTTCATCTTTTCTGACATTTCAGGATAGTGAATTCATTTCTTTTTCTGTATGTAAGATTCATTTAAATATTTTCTGAAATGTGGGTTTGATGTTCATGGTTTATCTTAATTTGTGCTACCTTGGATGGTATGTCTTTCTCCAACAACTTTAAAGCATTGATGCTTGATGTATCTGTGTTAAGTGGTAGCTATTTACTCTGATAGTTTAGAATACCTCAGTCTATTCTTCTCTGAAGCCTTTTGAGGAAATAATGCTTTGAGTTTGTAAGTAGCTTACTACTTCTCTCTATCCTCTTTCAATATTCTTTCTTTGTTCTATACTCTTGGAATTTTAATGATAATATGAGCTGGGAGTTTATTTTCTGGTCAAGCCTATTCAGGACACCAAATGTCTTTTGTAGTTGGATATCTGTATGTTTCCCTACATGTAGAAAATTGCATACAATAACTTCATATATGAGGGTTTTTTACATTTCTGTCTATATCCTAGCTCCCTCTTCTATATCAAAGACTCACAGATTTGGCCTCTTAATCATGACCTGGGATCTTGAGAGGTGTGAACATGATTGGATTTTTTTCTCTTTCACTATTTGAATATGACCATTTATCAGCCTTCTTTAAACCCTTCTACTCTTTCTTTCTCATAATGTACCTGCCTGTCATGCTTCCCATTGAGTTTTATCATTGAGTTTTCCATTTTAAACATTTTCATTTCATTTTTGGAATCTTTGTGTATTTGATGAATTTTTCTTCTAAATCATATGTGTATTTGTGTTGGACCCATCTTGCCTTGAATGCTGGCACATGAACCAAGACAAAGCTGACTACTGCAATGATTTTATACCAGTGGTATCCAGTCCTGGTGACCATGCCAGTGGGCCAAATGATAGATGTTCCCTCAAATGAGAGGTTCTCTGCCAGTGTGTATGTGGGTATGGGAAATGCATGAGAAACAATGGCCTTTCTACCCAATGTTTTTGGGTATGTGAATTGGATGATTCATCCAGAGTATTCTGAACTGAGTGCAAGGCACCAATATCCACACACCGTTCATCTCTCACATCTTCACAGAGGGCTAACTACTAATCCAAAATGGTGATACCTTCCACCTCCCTTTGGAATATAGCCAGACTTCCCACCACATAGATCTATGTTCTTGAGTCTAAATCCCAATCTCAAACTGTTTCTTGACTTCACACTGACTTTTTATGTGATTCATTGCTTAGCTAGTAATGAGGGGAGGCCCACTGATACTTTGCAATATACAAACAAAGCTTTATCTAGAACACCCTCTAAGGGCAATAAAGCTTGTCAGTGAAATCCATTTTAAGACAACTGCACATCACAGAACAAATAATCACACTAAGTAGTAGTACTGAGAACCTCTCTCTAGTGTGTACTTGGACAGATGAATGGTGGGTTTCCCACTTGCAATTTTGTAGAGTACAGGCCATTTCTGTCATCTGCTTTCTTTTGCTTAAGGTACCACTGAGGGGGACTCTCCCAATTTCCTGATATGTTGCCTGGTGCCTGATGTTAGGGGTTGTTGTGGTTACAAATCTAATGTTGAATACTCCCAATTTCATCTGATCACTGTCTAATGTTGTACATATTTTCCATTTCAACATCACCTCTCTGTCCCTACAGTTTCACATATGCTTCATTCTAGTCCTTTGGAGATGCAGAAAAGTAGCACCACAAATATAGGACTGAATAGAGAAATGTACATAAGAAAAATGAGTGCACAACAAAGAAATTAATATAAAGGAATTGACTATGTACCATCTAATGGACCATAATATTTTTAAGTAAGTGAAAGTGTGAAATAATTGATAAATATATTGATTCAGCCAGTATTATTTAATATTTTAAAATATATATATTTCTTATATTTTGAGAATTTCATACAATGTACTTTTGTCATATTCAGACCCCGTTTTCTCCGCCCCCATCTCCTGACTTCCTGTTTTTATTATTTTTTAAGACGTATTCAGTCTGATTTGTGTTCCCTAAATGCTGTTGGGTTTGGGGCCTTCCCTTAAAGTCTGGCCAACCTGCCAGGTGTCATACCATCCCTGCAGCTTCTTGCCCATATCCCCCAGCCATGGTGTTTTTTCTTTTTCTGGCTTGGGTTTGCATGCGTCTTTTGCATGCTGTCACAAGTGCTGTGGGTTCATGTGTGCAATTGCCTTGTGGTGTCCAGATAACACAGTTTCTTTATCTTCATCTCCCTCTGGTGGCTCTCTAACCACCCCCTCTTTCACAATGATCCCCAAGCCTTCAGAGGAGAGGTTATAATATTGGTGTCTCATTAAGGCTGAGCACTCCTTAGTCCCTTAGTCTCTGCAAATTGACCAATTGATGACCTTTTAATGAAAAAATATGATAGATTTCAGAACAAACTTGTCAGTCATGGAAATTATTGTTAATGTGGCTAAATCAAGTATTTCAAGATTTTCTGATTCAACCAAAAAGAAAGTTAGTTGTGAAGTATCTATATACACAGCTAAAATAGAAGTTCAAACTGTATATAATTAAAATAATCCATAGACACATAATAGATACAGTGCTTGGAAGAATATCAATACCCATACATAACAATTCAGTTAAATAAATACATCATGGAATCCTAAATATCTGCATAAAATATGGGCTGAATGAAAATTACTACATGCCAGTCCAGAAAAATGCCAGTGTTGCATCATAAAATTAAAGAGAAAATCAAGGTGTGAGCCTGTATCCACATGACCATTTAAGTAAGAAAAGAGATTACAATGTATAGACTTTTATGCATGACTTGTTTTATTTTTTATCATAATCATAAATCAGAGTATAGAGCAGAAACTCATAAAAGCTCTTTGGAAAAATGTCTGATTCTATTCTCAAGAATTGTGTGTTAGCCAAGATTCCCCCTTCCTAAGTACAAGAAATCTATAAAAAAAATGATTGAGATTATATCAGAAACCCACAAGAACAAAATTAAAGTTTTTAAGGTGAATTTATGTTACTGAGACAAGAATGACTATATTTTAACTTAAGCTGAGAAATGTTAAAATTTATGAATTTATACTGATTGTTTCCAAAATATCAATAATTTTCATATTGTATTCATAAAATAACTAATTTAAAGAATGGTAATCAGATTTATGTAGATGTATGTGTTCTGAAGCCTCAGAGTGTTCCTTGTTGAAGAAATAAAGTTTTAAAATATTCAAAGAGAAGAGTAGGAAGGCTGGGGAAGGAAGAGAAAGGAAAGCTTTCTTACCCACAATCAGTTCAGTTTTCTGCCTGGAAAAGTTAATAGTTTTGAACACTCTGAAAAAAGTCACACAGAATTTCTTCCAGAAAATAGATAATATCAAAGAAGACTCTTGTGTATTTGAACACTTAACTGTGACATATTAACTTACTGAAGTTTGAAACTATAATTTTGGAAAAATTCAATACAGGTACTGAGAGTAGTTATACAATAACAGTTAAGTTTACCTTGATTAATTTAGGCTTTAAATGCGGATAGTATAATAATTTAATATAAACTACATTTTCATATTTCTCTATATAATATTTACAAAAGCATTTTAATGAAGTGAAATTAATTTGCTATGGAGTTTGAAATTGTTAAACAATCTTATACGCCTTCATAATTTTTTTAATAGTGTTTACTACCTCCTTATTTCTCAAGCTGTAAATTAAAGGATTTAACAGAGGAATTATTATTGTATAAAATACAGCCACTGGTATATCTTTATTCCCATCTTCAGATGGTCCAATATACGTGAGAAGACAAGTGTAGAATATTGATACAGAAAAGAAGTGGGCCGCACAGGTGGAAAATGCTTTCCCTCTCCCATCCTTGGATTTCATCTTGAAAATAGTGAGGAGAATGCAGAAGTAAGAGACCAACACAGTGGTAATGGTAAAGATTTGAATTGGCATTGAAAAAATATATATCATTAATTCATTGATATAAGGGTCAGTACAGGATAGTCTGTACAGAGGAAGAATATCACAAAAAAAGTGATCAATTCTGTTAGATTTACAGAAATTTAATCTTAGCAGACACCCTGTATGAATCATGGAATGGAGGTTACTGGCTATGAAGGTGCCTATACTCATCTGAATGGAGAGCTTCTTGGACATCATGGTGTGGTACTGCAGTGGGCTGCATATGGCCACATAGCGGTCATAGGCCATAGCTGCCAGAAGAAAGCAGTCTGCAGTTTCAGCAAGACAGAGAAAGTAAAACTGCACCATGCATTCATACAGGGAAATCCTTCTGTCCAGAGAAAAGAAGTTCTCTAACATTTTGGGAGTGACGGCACAGGAGCAGCAGGAATCCATCAGAGCCAGATTGCCCAGAAAGATGTACATGGGTGTGTGAAGACAATGTTCCATGTAGATCAAGGCCACCAGCCCAAGATTCCCCACTATGGTGGTCAGATAGATGGCAGAGAACACCAGGAACAGAGGGATCTTCAGGTCTGGGTGGTCTGTAAATCCTATGAGGATGAACTCTGTTGTCAAGGAGTGATTTACTTTCCCCATTTCTGATTTCTCTGTTGAGAAATAAACTTTAAAGAACTTTAACTGAGAGTGAAGCAGAACATTTCCAATGCTTTCTCTTCAGTTACTGTACAGGCATATGTAAAGATCTCTTTACATCACCCTAGCAATCACTCATAGATCATACTCATAGGCATTGTCTTGAAGTGTCTGCTGAACTCTTAAGGTGAAAAATCTCACATCAGTTATTATATGCCTTTGTACAAATTCATGGTCAGCCTGTAGCTTGAAATTTTCAATCTTGAAAGATTCTCTGTTATAACTTTCCAGATAAAAAATTCTGAATATTATACTGAGGGGGGAAGTATGATTTTTTTTTTTTAAAAAAATGCTCGTTATATATTTATGAGACTAATTTATAAAAACTGCACAGAATCAGAGTGAATTTGAAAAACATTTTTTACATCTTAGTAATATTTTCCATTACGGTCACCATGGGGTTTTTTGCATGAAGATCTTTTTAACCTTTAAGACAGGGTAAGAATATATAACATTATTAGTTTGTCTTAGTTTAAAATTCTTTTCCTATTCATTTTAACATATTCTAAGTTCTACTCCTATCTTTTCTGACAAAATTTCAAATGAGTTCCTAATTTCAATTATCCCAGAATATTAGTTTCTGTCTACTTTTAAGTATCCTGCATGCATTTTTAACATTATGAGTCTCAGTGATAATGTGCCCACTAGCAATGCAACGTACATACTGTTCATGATAAATACTGCCGTGTATTATCTCTAACATCTCCAGTATAAATGTTCTCATTTTATTGAGCTCCATAGAAATATAAAATTTATATGATTCTTTGAATTTTAAATTTGTTTCCTCCAAATTTATACATTGCAATTCAGTAACTACCAAAATATATTACATTTTTGTTTGGCAAGCATAACATTGCAGCATTTTAAGTACAGAGAGAGTAGGTTTATACTGTCATAATAATGCTATTTTTTTTCTTCCAGAAGTTGTTACAACTCTTTGGCCATAATATTGTTTAAATATATATTTTAGGAGAACAGCCTACAATAGTTATTAAAGCAGCACTGTTTTAAAAACACATTGTAATTACTGTTTTACTACTTTAAATTTCTGTATAGACTGAAATTAATATGCTGTTTTCTTATTCACTCTCATAGCATTTAAGTTTTTCCTGATATTCAATCACTAGAGGCTTATAATTAAATGGATAAAATTAATTTGTTTATATTATAGGTTTATATAATACTTTATAATTAATCTCAAATTCATTATCTTGAAAAATATTTTGTAGCACTATAAAATAATGATTTTTAATTATTAATTTAGCAACACATAATAACATTCAATATTCCTTCATTTAAAATACATTTTACTAACTGAAAGCTCATTTTCTTTTCTCTAATACCAAATATTATTCACCTGAGCCAGAAACTAATTTTATTATACATCCTAGAATTATTTTACAGATTCATTAATAGCTTACCTATATATTTGGTAATAAACTATGGTAATTCTGGACTCAGAATACACAAACTGACTCACTTATTGTCTCATTATAGATTTCCAGGATATCTGCAATTTAGAGATAAACAAAAGAATAAGTATGTAGATGAAATAAAAAATAAAATTTGGTGTGTTTTAGATATAATTCTTCATAGTAATAAAGAAATTGTAAATCCACCCTCATGATTTGCATTCACTAACAAGCATTTTATATGGCTGAATGGTCACCTGATATTCCTAGACTTTTGAAAACTTAGCATAAAAACTTTGGCCTTAAAGCATTGGGGATTAATTTATGAAAATCTAGGACACTCGCTCTACTCATAGGTCAGTGACACTAATTATGATAACTTCATGACAAAATTAAAATTTTCCATTGGTTCTAAGGGGATTTCCTTGGCATTGATATCAGGGTATTTCTGTAGAGACTCTTATCTGAGGGGCTGATTCCCCAAACACCATGTACCAAACAACATTAATTAATGATTGAGGAATGGGATATTGAAAAAAATCAAATGCCCATCACCAGAGTAAGCCTGAAGATCATCTTTACTTTATGCACATTTGGTTACTTTCCCCTCCCTGGTCTTTCTTTCCTGAGAATGATAATGGATAGAAAAACAATATTCGCATGCATCACTTTATCAGAAAACAGATTTGAAGAGAGATTTGGATTTGTGGCTAAGATGAAAAACTTGGTGCAATTGACCAGAATCATATTCACCTTTCACAATCTATAACGATCTGATAATTTCCTGTGGATCCATTTTCTGAAATAACTCTGACATTATGTTCTTTAGTGTCATGTATGAATTTTGTTAAAGAAAGGTTGCATGTCCATGTGCCGTGTGTGTATCCTGCTTTCAGTTTCATGAAACTGGAGATAAATGCACAGTTATGAATGGATTACCATAATTAACTTAATTCATGCCGCAGTCATGACAGCATCTTAGTTATTCCTTATTTCCATCCTTTCTCTAGTAAACATATGATTTTATGTACAAAAACCATTCTTGGCCCCTTGATATTCTCCATTCCAAGCATAGTCTCCATGCTCATTGTCATAGTTTTCTCAGAGTTTCACAGACTGGCATTTCAAATGATCTTTGACTTTGTTTTCTAACATTTACCCTTAAGAATCCATCTCCAAGGGCATATCCACCATTTCTCTTTCTTGTACTAGATTTCAAGTCAGAACATTTACTAAGTATATACTCCTCATCTTAAATGCCTTCTTTGACCTATTTACCTATCTAAATACTTTTAATCTTCATATGATGTCTGATTCCTACCCTGAGATGTCACCAAATATCTAATCCACAAATTGATCAAAGTCTTTATGATACAAAAACCTCATAATCAAACTTTGTATTCATCCATCCAGTTCTTCCTGAAAAAGTTTTGTTTCCTCTTAGACAGATACTCCTTTTGACTTTAGAAATGCCAAACCACTTGTAATTCTAGATTATCTAGCTACTCAATGAATGCTAATTGAATTTATTGAAAATATTTTAATTAAATCACACTAAAAATTTATAGGGAAATTAAACTGAAAAGCCACCCAATCACTAGCTATAGGGTTAAATAGGAAACTGCATAAGTAAGTGAGAAATAATTTCCTCTTGGAGATCCCCATTATGTACACAACTCTTTAAAGAGCAACCTATACTAACTAGTAAAAATATCACTATAAATTAGATTGAGTGAAGAAAGCCAGGTATAGGAATGTAAGTTCTGCATGATCTCACTTTTGGATTCTAAAGAACATGACCTCACAGAAGGTGAGAAAAGAATGATGTTGCCAGAGACTGGGAGAGCAGCAATGAGGCGGTGATAGGGTATGGTTGTTAATGGGTAGTGAGTTACAGTTAGATAGTAGCAAGAATTTCTAGTGTGCCTTTGCACAGGTTGTGGATGGAAATAATAACAGTCTATGAAGCTCTGAAATCTTGAAGAAAGGATTTTGAAAGTTTTCAATATATAGAAATAATCATTCAGGGCTAAGTTTACTTAAACTTTACTTAGACATTATATTAGTCACTTTTTGATTGTTGTGAAAATACATCAAGACCAAGGAAACAAGAAGGAAGAATTGATTTGGGCTTACATTTCCAGAGGGATATAATCCACCAAGATGGAAGAGGGATGGCAAGAGGCAGCCAAAGCAGAAAGCAGAGACTGTATTGCCTGCATGTGTGTAAGTGCACCCCTGTCATGCAATGCCCACAGAGGTTAGAAGAGGGCAGCAGATTCTCTGGAACTGGAGTTACAGATGGTTGTTTGCCACCATGTGGGTGCTGAGAACTGAACCTGGGTTCTCTGCAAAAGCAGCCAGTGCTCTTAACCACTGAGTCATCTCTCCTGTCCCAGAACTCTTAATTAACATAACTATTCCAGTCCGTGTGTTTCTTTGAAATCTCCTGGGGAATGATATTGGGATTTTTAAATTTAGTTTTGTTCATATTGTTATTCAAAATAATATTTTTATTAATTCCTTGAAACATCAAGTATAATTTACTCATATTTAATCTGCTCCCTTAAATCTCTTCCCCATTTTATTCTCACATCTCACCAACTCCTTGCCCTACTAATTTCATGTCCTCTATTGTTTTAGGTGTATTAAGTCTAGTTTTTATTTCCCAAATGTTCTTGGGTGTGAGACCATTTTCTAGAGCCTGGTTAACCTACCCAGCATCACGCCCTTAGAGAAACCTGAGTCTCCCATTCTCCGCAGCTATGAATTGCCAATATGTTTTTCAGCTAATACTGTTGCTTCTTGCCTACCTCCCCTCTCCTTGTTGGCTTTTGTCTTGCTTAGGCTTGCACAAGTCTTGTGCATGCTTTCATAAGCACTGTAGGTTCCTATGTGTAATTGCCCTGTGGTGTCCAGGCAGTACAGTCATCTCACTTCATCCACCACCTCTGGCTCTTAGACTAATTTGGCTCTCTCTTTTATAATGATTCTTGAGCCATAGGAGGATAGAGTATGATGTAGTTGTCCCATTTAGGGTGAAGTACTCTGCACTCTCTAATTTTCTGCAGATTGACCAGTTGTGTCTCTTAGTTAGCCACCATCTGACTAGAGAAAAATCTCTGATAAAAGTTGAGAGATGAATTAATCTTTGGGTAGAATAATAAGTTATTAGGAGTTAACACTATGCCCATTAGCAAGAAAATAGTAGTAGGATCTCTCCTTATGGCCTATGGCATATCTGTTAACAGGTTCATGGCTCTGATATTGGTTCAAGTTATGGGCTATATATTATGAAGTGCTCCTCAAATACAATCATAAATTGGTTGGCAACTCCTCTAATATTCATACCACTTTTGTACTAATGGGCATATCTTACCAAATCAATAATTCTTGTAGCTTACAATGATCACAGCTGGGTAAGATTGATGTGTACTTTTTTCTCCCAGTAACATGCATAACATCTTCCAGAACTATGAAAACTAGCCTATAGAGATGATGCTTTGAGGTCAGTATCATCTTGATTTTTTCCGTGTTTTTCTATGACTCACATATGTAGTATCTTTGCCAGTAGGTTTCTTACCATA